ATCTCTCAATAAACATGCTTTTTAATTCACAAGGCAATGAGTGGATTCCTCTGCTGTGGGGCATTAGTTTTACAGTTTCAGGTTATTTTTTTGAGCACCAGCAGGATAAATTCTCTACCTCTGCCCTGTAAGCTGTCTCATCCCCATCGGAGATGAGCCCAAACATGGTGGTGTCATCAGCATACTTGATGATGATGTTGGATTGGTGTACAGTTATACACCATCCTTTGCAGGTCAACTCTGCTCTTGAGGAGTCAACTCTGCAGGTGGGTGGGGATATAATCAACCTCGGTGCCTATTGTTCTATGTAGTCTGAGATTTGACTAAATGTTGATGTGTATGTATTATTTCCTCTGCTTTGGGGCTGGGTAGGCCGGAATGGAGGGGAGTGCCTATGGGGGTTGGCGGGGGAGCTGGTTTGCGTACTTTTGCCCCCTGCCCTCAATTCTTTTCTCCCCATCACCATGTGCCTCCCTCCTTCCACTCCATCACACCATCACACATGCAGGGCCTTGAGATAAAAGTGTTTACTGAGGTGCGGGTGAGACATTCCTCCTCTGTCTCCTCCTGGCCACCTGTACCTTAGTTTTATTCCACAACTTAGACACTCACATTACTTGCACTCTCATGACAGATATAGGGCCTTGGTGGGTGGGCACACAAAACAGCTGTCAGGTTTCCTGGGTCGTTGACCCAGCGTTCTCAGTTTTGTCATGTTCAGTTTATTTCCCACATTCAGTTTTCTCACTTCCTGTTTTCTGTGCCAGCATACCGCCTGTGTATTGTGTTCCAGTTATTTCCATGTATCATTAGTCAGTTCAGCTGTGTACTCACCAGTCTCCAATCGTCATCATCAGTCAGAGTATTTAAGTCCTCAGTTTCTTTCTGTTCACTGTCGCGTCATTGATGTTGATGTCGTCTTTCCGCATGTATGTTCAGTTCAGTCAATCAGCCAGCCAGCCAGCCGGTCTAGTCCAATCAGCCAGTTAGTTCAGTCACCCAGTCAGTCGTTTCAGTTCATGTTCTTCCAGCCACAATAAAACACCATTATCCTGCACCGTGAGTCCAGCGTTTGGGTCATCTCTTCCTCGCCTCCACACACGACACGCCTGACAACAGCATTCAGAGAACAGGGCATTGCCCCCATAGCTCAGTTTGGCCCCTTCTGCTGGCAGAGCCTCCTTGGGCTCTCATGCTCTAGGGTACTGCTACATGTCTGGGTCCTGCATCTCCTCCATGGCTGCTTTATGTCCTGGGGGCAGGGCTATGGCTCCTCACCCCTACTATTAGACACTTGCATGGACAAGCCTTATGAATACAAGCACACTTACAAACACAGGTGTGTATACAGGTGTAGAAACAGGTACTCAAAGACTTAGATGGGTGCTTCCTCTAAACATTTCATGATTTATTAGTCCTGTATGCTGCGGAGTAACATTCAGTATTTATTATTTACTGTAACTTATGCTCATTTTGATTGTTGCTGTGGTTTCCCTACTGTGCTGTTTTCTTTTTGCTTGTTTTTTTGTTTTGTTTTTTTTTCATCAGGTGATCAAGCAGTGTTTTAGTGTCTTTTCTCCCTCGATCCGTCTTTTCTATTTTTCTTTCCCTCTCCTTCTGTTAACTCTCTTCCAACTTCTCTTTTCTTCTTCTTTCTCTTTTCTGTGCTCTGGTCCTATCCGTTCTGATTATAATAACTTAAAAAGTAATAAATAAATAAATAAATAATAAAGATTGAGTAAACTATGACAATCAAGTGGACCAGTATAGCAAAAGCTGTAATGGTCCTAGTGATAAACCACAGCAGACCCGGAGACATTTTTAAGCTTTTCAGCATGCTATATTGAGGCAAACGGTTGCTGAATACACACATGAACACATCCACAACACCAACCACCACAGGACTCAACATTTAAGTCGGCGGAAAATAATTGCGGATGCTGTGCGTCCGCCTTCCCTGCA